GGAGAAAGCCAACTCGAGGGCGGTGAGGTCGGTAGCAGTATAGTGGGAGTGAACATCTTTATATTTGAGAACAAGCATAAGCAATTTTAGGCCAAACTGTAATTTGTTTTTTAAAGTTTTGGAAAGTGTCTGTCAGATACTTAACAGACAGGAGCGTAAAAGAGAAGCCTCTTCCTCAGCCATAACACTGCTGCTCTGATGTAGTAATACACATGTATCTTAGTGCTTCCCACCCCCCCTCCAGATTTGGGCTATTACTTGGCATATTGGACACTGGTCCAGATATTCAACTGGCGTAAATCATCATAGGTTGGTTGACGTCAAGCTATGTTGGTTTGCACCAGATGAGTGTCTGGCCCAAAAAGTGTATTTGTTTAAAAAAAACAAAAACAACAACAAAAAAAAACAAGTAGGTTCATGGGGAGAGTTCTTGAAGAGTGAGACTGCAGAAATACTTTGTGTTTTTTTTTTAAGAAAAATAGCCACAAATATTGAATAGCCAGCAATGAGTCTTCACTTGCATGTACTGTCAGTTGTGATTTTTGTTTTAAAACTACTTGACCATAAAAGAAATAACTAACAAACCAAAACTCACAACCAAAGGGGATTCAAAAGCAGCTAATTAACGTTTGAGTAAAGCAGCAAGTTGACCCCCTGTTTAGGGATACTCCTACAATGAAATGTGATATAAACTAGACTTCTTGGTATTTCTGCAAATTGCACGTGATGAAAATTAATGCTCCTATTGTTCCATAGGCCATCACACTGTCTACATCGGGGTCCACGTGCCTAAGAGCTATAGGAGAAGGAGACGCCACAGAAGAAGACCTGGGCTAAAGGAGAAGAAGGAAAGAGAAAAAATATCTGAGTACTACTCCGACAAATCAGATGTAGAAAATGCGGATGAGACGAGCAGCGGCATCCTTAAACCACTCAGTGAGTACCGTCGCTTTCTGGCATTCCTTGTGATACTCTATTGATGTGCAGTGCTCTTGTCCTGAGCATTTAGAAAGAAACTGGATCCCTGAAAGAACATCACCAGCATGTGTTGCGGGGTCAGCATGTGTTTTATCAGTTGCCAGGGAATTGTTGTTTGGAAGAGACACCACCCCAGACACTCCAGGTGAGCGCTTCATCTTTGTTCACCGTGAGGTGTCATCGTTGAGTTAGACGTTGTCAGTGCAAATTGTCAAAACCAAGCTGATGCGGTGTGTGAGGAGACAGCAAGCAATTTGAAATTTAATTACCCATTCTGACTGATCCATTGCCACCCCTCCTCCTGCACACAGCATATGCACAGTCTCCCAGGGTAGAAGGATAGTCACTTGCCCAGGGGGGTCAGCTAGAAATAGAGCTAGCAGTGGGATAACAGAAGAACCAAGCCCCCTGTCAGAGGCTGTAAGAAATGTTTTGACTTGGAATTGCAGAATTCTATACCATGGTGCGTGCATGCCTGCCTGCTTTAGTTGGAGGGAAGCAGCTGATAAACAGCAGCTAATTACTATTTATTGAATTGACTTAAGAATAAGAGTTTTTTATAAACAAAAGTTGGAATGAAAAATGTAACTTTAGTCGTATGAATCAGTTGTATACTGATAGATTGGGCCTCTGATTTGGGATATTCAGCTGGGGCTGGGAGTATTAGAGATGAGACACCTGAATTGTCTAGTGGAGTATCTTCTCTAGAGTGCCTTTCTAGGGGACAGTCAGTGAAGCCTGATTCCCAGCCCCTTTAGCCATCTGCTCAACTGGCTGTAGGTTCATTATTCTGAAAAGTGGTTGCTAAAATAAGAGGCTGGGGCATTAGAGAACAGGAAGAGAGAGACTGTGATCAACTATTGAAAATGGTGTCACACTGTAGAAGTTTGGTGATATAGGAAGAATATAAGGTGATAGTCTGCACAATATCTGCCTGCTTTCTTCACCCTGCCTTCCCAACCTCTCCTGTCTCCGAAGCATTCCTAAATAGATTTAACCCCATCAGTCCTAGTACAAAAACCTTTTGGCTACTATTCTGCCCTTGACCCCTTCTACGATTTAAAAACTGGCCATTTATTTCTACTTTGTTTTCTGTCTGACTGTTCCTGAGCCATGATTACTTTGACTCTCAGACTATGACTACTTTAGTAGTCTCTTGTGCAGGACTTTGTCAGAGGCCTTTTGATAATCTAAGTAGCTGGTTCTCTGTTACCTGCTATTCAACTATGGCACCAATTTTCAGAGCAGACCAGTTGCTCTCCGCAGTAGCGGGGAGAGGCAGCTGAAATGAACCCTAGCGATAGGAATCCTCCATGATCAGATTCTCAGACCCACAGTATTCCATTCTGTTAAATGGTCACAGGATAATATCCCCCCCCCCCTTTCGTGTAAGAAGCGTTCAACTTAAGTTATGGCCTTTAGGTAAGGATCAGTTGCAGTAGATGACTGAGAATATTAGAATTAAAGAGCTTAGGGATTTTGAATAGTAATTTTATGGAGATAAATTAAGAAAGCTGACATGAAGTCTTTCATTTTTAAAGGAAAAAAAAGACAGTTGTCAGAGAGCAGGTGTCGTAAGAGGCTGAAGTAGATATTGGATCACAATCACACAGTAAGAGTAGGACAGAGTGGAGAGTTTTGATATGGATCACTGGAACAAAGGGGCGCTACAGGTGGGTAGGTTGGGGTCTGAGAAGCAAGAAACTGGGAAATATAGAGCATCAGTGTTTCCTCTGAATGAGAGGAATGTTGGAAATAAGACAGTGGAAAGGAGGTATCTCTAAAAATTGCTAGAGTGCAGAGAGTGGGAATTAGTATACCAGGTCTGATTTTTCATTTACAGTAACCCATCTTTACACTGCCAAATATATACAAAGGAGTGCCCTAGTATAGAAGAGAATCAGGCTGTGGACTGGCTTGCTCGATGCTTGTATGAAGCGAAATGTCATCAGAAGAGGAAAGAAAGGTGTTATGCACCAAGGTGAAAATGAAGTTACAAATCCACCATGCAATTTGACACAGTTGAGCATAATAGTGTCTCTCTCTCTCTCTCTCTCTCTCTTAAAGAGGCCCAAGAATAGAATAGCAGGGGGTGATGCAGTTCACGGGATTAAGGGGCATCGGGACAGCAATACGGATGACACTTGCATAACACTGATTTGGATTGAGGCTGACTCTAACCAACTGTTATCCTTCACTGTAATACTCAAAATGTATTGTATTCACGCAATTTGGAAGAGGTTGAGTGACTCAGACTTGGTGAATGTAGTGTAGCAAATATTGGATTCATGGAGAAGATGGTCTGTGTATATATGTAACGAGAGAATAAAATAAAAACTTTTTTCAGAAGCATTGTGGTCAGTGCTCATGTATAATTTGATTGGGTAATGTTTGAGATGTGGTGCATTGGAGACTGAACTGAAGGATAAGTGAATCTTGTGTTGTGAGAAGATTTATTTTCAGTGGAAACATTTAAAAATCACACTTTAAAATTAAAGAAACTCCAAAAAATTCTTAACCTCATCTACTTGTAATAGAAGTATTTTTTAAAAAAAAATCTGTTTTTACTGCTTGCATTTCTCTAGTTTAGCCAATAAAATTGAATTGTCAGTGCAACTTACGTAGGTAGTTAGTTTGTAGTCTGTTTCATGTTCAGGTTTCCAGGCACTAGCACAGTACTGCTTGAGTTTTAGTAACTATTCGTTAAAATTGTTTCCAAGAATTAATGGAAATATTTCATAGAATAATGTCTGGAAGCGACCTCGAGAGGTCATCTAGTCCAGTCTCCTGCAGACCTAACAGTGTCTCTTTTAATAATTTCCTATCGCTGATGGGCAGGTATCAAATTCAGCCTTAAATATCCCCACTAAAGGTGATTCCATAACCTCCCTTGGCAAATGTCCTGAAATCTTGTCAGTTGGAGTTCGTGTGCAAATCTGCATTGAATCACCAGGTTGGGTTGCTGTACCACGCTGATGAACCCAGATAAAATGTCAGTGGAGACAGGCAAGAGATTGAACAAGTCCATAAATGTAGACCTCTTCTAAGGGCACCTTGTTAATTTAGAACTGGTAGCGTGGCACAGCTGGTTTTGGGAACTGTATCTAGTAATCTTTTTCTCTATGTCCAGTTTCTGCGAACAACTCAAAAATTGTGCGAGACAGAAATGTACAGTCTTCAGTTCTTCCAGCCACAGGAGGATTGCGTAGAAGGGATTTTTGTTTATATTATAAGTGATTTAGTGTTCATGAAAGGTGCCAACCTGATATCTTTGGTGCAGGAGGCCCTCTTTCCACAGAACTGGTACAGAATGGGCCTGATTAGTGTAAATTTTCCCCAACACAATCTCATCAATGTGCCCCAGCTCTGCAGGAACTACTTTTTAGAGATGAGAAGGCAAATCAGTCTCTGTGCTGAGGATTGCATCCTTAGCCTGTCTGTGCAGAATGTCAGTGAGGGTACCAATTGTGGTGTGGTTTCCTATCTGCTCAAAACTAGCCCAAGAACACCTAATTTCCAAAAATGACTTTCGCTAGCTACTGGCCTGAACCTCGTTGATATGTATGACCTCAAAAAGAGAGATGCTACACATTAACCTAAGAACATAAGTTAAGTCTTTGAGCTATCCAGTCCCTGATATATACATATTTTAACATTTTGGGGGGGAAAATGTAACACTGAGTACAGTTTTGTGTTAAACAGGCTTTCAACTTCCTCTTCCCCCTTCCCTCAAACACGCACTTGATAATTAGAATGAAGAAACAGCTTTACACTAAAACAACTGAGAAATTCTGAATTTAGATTTCTAAATTTAAGTGCTACCGAAGCACATAGCCACCAATGGGAGAAAGGTAGAACACTGAGACCACAATGGGAAATGCAAAACTGTAGGGTGGGAAGGTAAGTAATGTTGTAACACTAAGAGCAGAAACAACAAGGAGTCCGGTGGTACCTTAAAAACTAACAGATTTATTTTGACATAAGATTTCATGGGTAAAAAACCTCACCTTTCACCCCCGAAAGCTTATGCCCAAATAAATCTGTTAGTCTTTAAGGTGCCACTGGACTCCTTGTTGTTTTTGTGGGTACAGACTAACACGGCTACCCCCTGATACTAAGAGCAGAAGTAATGTTGGGCAGAAATTTTAGGCTCACCAGATCCATCAATCCGGGCTGACCCATTTAATAGAGAGAAGGAAGGAATCCTGAATGGGTGGTGGTAGAGAAGCTGATGGCTTTGTTGCCTGGAGCAAGGTTGACAATGGTAGTGTCTTTCTGGATGCACAGAAATCTCAAGCCAAATTCTGCCCTCTGAAGTAATTAAGGCTGATTGTCTCTGCATGCAGCTGAGGGTAGAATGTTGCAAAGAACAAGATAAGGGAGGAATTGCTTGGGTGGAGTACTGATCCAGACCACCCCCCACTTCTCCACTAAAAGTGTTTTGAAGACTTTCCTGGGAGGAAGGGCATCTCTGCTTATGCTTTCCTCCTTTCTTTTTAGTGGAGCCATAGTCTGATTGTTCTGTGGTTTCAGCTGGGTCATCTTGATATTTGTTTGAGATGGAAAAGGCCACTGAAATTCTTTCTTTGGCTGAGTGCCCTGGGAGTAGGGAGTATGAATGAGCTACATGTAAAAGCCACAAGCCAAATTGTGATGACCATATGTCTCTCTTTATTTTGAGGCTCTGACATCATAGTTTTTCCGAACAGAAATGTTCTGAATGTGATATGTAAACTATAGTTGAAGAGATTGACTTTAGCGACTGACAGCTTTGGCAGAAAGTAGAGTAGAAAGTTTAATAGATTTTCTCAGTGATGAAAATTCTTACCTCTGTTTGGTTTGTCTCTCTGGTCGACATTATTTGAAAATAGTAAAACTATCCATCTGGACTGATGGATGTGAGTTTTATAGATACAATTTAAAGACATTTTCTTATGCAAAGGTCACTTGGGACTACC